CTTGAGTTTTGTGCATGGTGATAGATATGGGTCTATTTTCATTCTTCTACAGGTTGACATCCAGTTATACCAGCACCATTTGTTGAAGATGCTTTCTTTCTTCCATTGTATACTTTTGGCTCCTATATCAAAAATGAGGTGTTCATAGGTTTGTGGGTTAAAATTCGGGTCTTCTATACGATTCCATTGGTCGACTTCTCTGTTTTTATGCCAGTACCACACTGTTTTCATCACTGTAGCTCTGTAATAGAGTTTGAAGTCAGGGATGGTAATGCCTCCAGACAATCCTTTATTATATAGGATTGTTTTGGCTATCCTGGGTTTATTGACAGAATTTGTAATTGTCTGCTGTACTGAATCTCTCTGCAGATTTAAGATCTTTGCCTTGAGCCCCCTTACATGTCTGTTCCTTTGTTCTCATGACTAACCCAAAATAGGTAGCTCATATTTCTTCAGTAACATTAAAATAATATCCCTTGTATAAATAAAATACACAGATGGAAAGATTCACATTTGTAAGCAGTTGTGTGGCGGATGGGTGAAGGGCAGATCCTAAGAAGCCAAGAATAAGAAGAAAATGATGACAAGTCTTAAAAAAAAATTCAAGATAAAAGGGAAACAAAAAAATCTTTCTCATATGACTTAGAGATATATTTTTAAATTTACATGTTTAATTAATAATCTTTATTGAAAGGTTATATATTCTCTCATAAGAACATGAGCAAGAAAGTCAGGACCGCAAGGGGTGCGGCCACCCACTGAGATGGTGGGGTTGATCCAATAAGAGCTCACCAAAGCCAGCTTTACTGGGATTGATGGAGCATATGATCAAACCAGACTCTCTGAGGGAAATTGGAGGGATATGGGAGGAGGGGAGGAGGTGGAAATTTTATTTTTAAGTAAAAATAAAATAAAACCATACTTATATAATATCTTTGTAGATGTTTACAGGATATTGAGAGATAAATATTTTTTTCCAGAGAGGAAGTTGGATTTCTAAAGTTATTGAGTCCATGCATGATGCAGAACCAGAGCTATAATTATGTTTTAAATCATTACATTTATTTTTTCTGTTCTTAGCATATGCTCTTTTCATTGAGGGTTAATTGGTATCAATGTCTAATTTGCAGTCTTATAGGCATTTGTATCCCTCTATAATGAAATTTTATTTTTGAATGTTATTCACTTGCTTGCTGTGGGGGAAACAATGATGACACTTGGGTACTGTTCTGTCCCTAATGCCTTCAATGTGTTCTTCCTAGTGAAGTCCCTGAGGACTTTGGAGGAGCTCAAAGACCTGGTATAAGGAGGGATAATGTAGTGTTTATACCTTGCCTCCCTTGACTGAGAAATTACAATCTGAAGGTAAGAAGAACAATTCCCTATTGCATGTTAAACATTTTGAAGACATGACCCTTCATATAAAATTGAAGTATGTGTGCTATCTTTGAAGTATAGATAGAGGGCTAAAGTAAGGAACTGTAGCCAAGCAGAAGGCAAGATGTCCCATATACATTGCTAGCACAGATATAAGTTAGAGATTTCCTTTGATACACTTGAGAAAGCATTGCAGAATAAGAGAAAGATATTAAAGGATATATGCATAATTTAGAGAAACAACAAACCAATCTTTGGTTTCTAGCCAGTGAGATTTTTAATATTATTTCTATTAATTGAGGACTTAAATCAAGTTTGAAGTTTTTGTCCAGTTGCAAAATAATTAAAATTTGTGGAAGTTTTATTTTATGCTGCTTCTAGTGAAATAATATTCCTATGTTATGAGAGGTTTAAGTGTAGTCATGGAAAAAATAGACATGATTCCTGACTTTGCTGTAAAATGTGTGGCCTTCTCAGGTTCTGTAACTAAGCCAGTCAAGTTTTTCTCAACTATTAAACCCTAATGAATCATTTCCTTAGCATGATTTTACCTAAATATATACATGAAAATGAATATTGCGCCGGGCGGTGGTGACACACGCCTTTAATCTCAGCACTCGGGAGACAGAGGCAGGAGTATCTCTGTGAGTTCGAGGGCAGCCTGGTCTAGAAGAGCTAGTTCCAGGACAGGAACCAAAAGCTACGGAGAAACCCTATCTCGAAAATAAAAAAAAAAAATGAATATTGCATGTCTTTTCCTAGTGACAGTAACTGCTGTCATGACTTATCTCACTCTTGCATAATAGCATAGGAATACTGTCTTTTTTATGCCCAGTGTTTTCTGTTTTCTAATTCATCATATTTTGTAAAAAAAAATTCTCTAAAATCTTCATCATCAAACCATTTCTCAAAATGTCACACACACAGACACACACATACACACGTTCTAGCTTTTTAAAATATTTGGTAGAAACTTTTGTGTTTGTGTTTGGAGTTCATTGGAGAAGTACCTGAACTCCTCAATTATTACAGTCATGCCTCCCTCTGTTGCCTTACAATGGATTACATATTTGCTACAATATTACATATTGCAGATTTCATAATAGTTACTTCTCTGAAAAGTAAAAATTAAAGACGACTGATACATTAAAAAGTTCTCCTCTTCATATCAATCAATATGTCCAAGAGTACTTTATAGAGATTCCCACCGATTAGTCACCTTTTAACTAAGGACACTTTTAAAAAACATACACATAGTTTATATTTTCATGTATTTTTATTCACCTAATGCATACTGTTCTGTATTCTCAAAAAATATAAAATTGACATTTTTAAAACTATAGTGTTAAAAAGTATAAATTATTAAGAATAAATGCGATCTTCTTTAGAATGTTCTTTAAAAACACACACATGCATGTACATACACACATGCATGCACAAACACACAAACCAATACATGTATTTAATTGATATCATGTAAGTTCTTTTATTAATATAAGCATTCAGGGATTGGAGAGATGTGTTTATTTTTAAGATTGATTACTGAAATTACAGAGTTCAATTCATAATGCTAACACAAGTTAAAGCACAACCAGCTCCAACAGATCCAACTCTGGCATCCTGGTTGCCAGATCAGATCCGCTCAAAGATGTGTGTGTGTGTGTGTGTGTGTGTGTGTGTGTACATGTGCATATTTATTTAAAAATTATTTATATATGAGTACGTATAATGCATGAGTTTTCTTAATATTCAATGAAATTAGAATTTTGTTTACATTTTAAAGTTAAGAGCTCTGACAATCGATGAGAAATAATTAGTGCTTTATTTCTTCATTCATAACCCTACACTTATAAATCTATTGATTACATGTATTAGAAAAGTTATTAGAAAAATATTGTACAAAAGAAGTTCCTTTAGAAGCCAGGAATAAATTTCAATTGCTTTTTTAACTCTCTTCTTTTCCTTTTTAAGCCTCTGTGTGACAAAATACAGTATGTTTAGTATTAAATTAAATAGTATATATTTGGAATGAATAGTAGACAGTTTTTCTAGTAAATAAATGTAGGTGAGTATGTCTTGCTAAAAGAAAAATTCTGAACATTTCGTCATTGTTCCTTTTGACTTTCCTTTTTCAGAATTGGTGTTACCAAATTTTGTATCACAGAATGTAGCTAAAGTAGTCAAGTTCAGCTACCCATTCTAGAGAGCTAAATTAATAACAAAAAAAAAAAAACCCGGAAAAGGAAATGCATTCATTGTGGCCACACTGGGAAGAAAAACAAAGAGATGCTGTGACCCCTCCCTCCAACCTTCCTCAGAGTCCTGCATAACTTGAACAGAGAGCCAGAAGTACAGTCATGTCTAAGTTGTCTCCATAAGCTATGGTTATATCACTGTTAGGGCTGTAGGCTCATCCTACTGTGACAGGTTGTTAGCGATGAAAGAGATTGATTTCATGGTAACAGGTTCTCTCTTTAGCTGGTACATTTTCCTTTCCCAAGAACCAGTTCTTTGAGGTCCCTTGTTTTACTAGATTGATAGACTGAGAAACACAAATATCTCTGTAGTATAGCTTCTTTCTACCAGGAAAATCGTACTAGGAACTGAATCTGGGCTCCTGATTCCTGGCTAAACATTCTACCACTGATCTGCATTGTCATTCTTCATGTGAAAGTCTTGTTGGAAATGATGTGGGATTTAATAGCTTCATTCCAACATCAGACATATTCTCTTCAGAGAAGAGTGATTAACATTTCACTAGCAACATGTTTGTGCCATATATTTTGGTTTTCTTACCTCAAGAACAAATTACTATGTGTGAATAAATTCTCTTGGTATTTATTGAGTAAATGATTATTCATAGTGTTTCAGAAACCCATCAAAGCCATATTTTTTTTGCGATGTGGCTGTGAATTAATTTTTAACACAAGTATTTCAAGGACTTTTCACTAATAATAATTAGCATATGAACCAATAAATCTGACATTGGTATTAATTTGAAAGACAGGATAAATTGTGATAACAACAATCTATAGCAAGGAACATTCAAAGAACATTCATTCTCTGTCCATCACTGAGCCTCCTGTGCTAAAGGGGAGGAATAAGTGTAAGAAAACAACAGTGCAGATGCTTCAGTGAGAAAAGTGGCACAAACTACAGAAATGAGAATACATACTACTTCACTTCTAGTTAACCGAGAATAGTTACTAAATGATTCTCATTTTATTTTGTAAGTTAATCTCAACTCATTGCTATGATATAAAGGTCATTACCTTTCAAAAATAGGAATATTATGAAAATTCCCTCTATCAATCATATATGGTTATACCGAGGCTCTCTGAATTTTAATAAAATATAATGATGAAGCTGTTTGTATGGTGGAGGCAATTGGAGTTCACAAAATTGCACTGGCTATTTTTTAACCTGATAAATTTATTCAATAAGAGAAAAATCACCTTCCTTCAATTTATTTAAGCAAAGGAATGCATCTACTCAGACTCATTGTATTTAATAACTGTCTCAATTAAGACAAATGTCATTTCAAAATATGACCATGAGTGCATGATTTTGTTCACTTAAAATTTACAGGGTGTTGCTTTTAGAATCTGCAAGTCAAACCAGAAATGACAAGGACTCCATCAGATAAGAATGCAGAAAAAATTCAGATGAACAATGTGACTGAAATCACAGTGTTTATACTCCTTGGATTCACAGATGATTTTGACATGAAACTATTCTTATTTATATTATTTCTTGCAATATACCTTGTAACTTTGATGGGAAATCTGGGATTGGTTACATTGGTCATTGAGGATTCACGGCTCCACACCCCCATGTACTATTTTCTAACTGTTTTGTCATTGTTGGATGCTTGCTTTTCTACAGTACTGACTCCCAAAATGTTGGTAAATTTTTTTTCAAAAACTAAATACATTTCACTTGTCGGATGTGCAACACAGATGCTTCTTTTTGTTACCTGTGGAACCACAGAATGTTTCCTTTTGGCAGCAATGGCTTATGACCGCTACCTGGCAATCTACAACCCACTTCTGTATACAGTAAGGATGTCACCCAGGGTCTATGTGACACTCATTATCGCTTCATATGCTGGTGGAATTTTACATGCTACTATACACACAGTGGCTACTTTTAGCCTTTCTTTCTGTGGATCCAATGAGATTAGGCATGTCTTCTGTGATATTCCTCCATTACTCGCAATTTCTTGTTCTGACACTCACGTAAATCAACTTCTTCTCTTCTACTGTGCCGGCTCCATTGAGCTAGTCACCATCTTCATTATCCTAGTCTCATATGGTTTCATTCTGTTTGCCATTCTGAAGATTAATTCAGCTGAAGGGAGGAGGAAAGTTTTTTCTACATGTGGGGCTCACCTAACAGGAGTGTCCATTTTCCATGGGACAATCCTCTTTATGTATGTGAGACCAAGTTCCAATTACACCCTTGAACATGACATGATAGTGTCAATATTTTACACCATTGTGATTCCCATGCTGAATCCCATTATCTACAGCTTGAGAAACAAAGATGTAAAAGAGGCAATGAGAAAGTTGCTCAAGAGAAATTGCTTCATGAAAAAAAATATATTTTAAAAACTGATTTGAGCAAACCTAAAGCTCACATTGGCTTATATTTACATAATATATGAATGTACTTTGCCTTATATTCCTAACATTATCCCAAAAATGCATTAATTAATTTGAATATAACATGTAGGAATGTTCGCATATGATTTCTATATCTAACTATGTTTAAATTGAAATGTCAATTAATTATTGATATACTTAAGATCCTACTGATAGTCTTCAAATAACTCCACCTTTGCTGTATATGTCAGAAATTATTTACATTAGTGATATTTGGTTTGCAATTTCTCATATTGATTATTGAAACACAACATTGGCTTAATTTCTTTTTCTTTTTTCTTCCTAAGAAATGTTTGCTGCACTGGCATGATATTTTCTTGTATTCCTCAAACTCATCATGTGTGCATTATATTGTGCTATTGACTTTAAATTGTAGGTTTGTTCCTATAAAGTCTTTTCTTTTAACTCTTCAATCATAGAGATAGAATAGATACTCTAAAATATAACCGATACTATTTAGTGATGTTATTGAGATTTCTCTTTATATGCTATACAAATAAAGAATAGATGAAAAATAATAACCTTAAATTGACTTCTTTGATTTTTTGGCTTTTCAAGACAGGGTTTTTAAATTGTTTTCTGTAGAACGAATTGGCATTTGTTGATCTGTACAGTTGTAGTGCTTTAATGAACAATATTTCCTTATGCTCAAAGTTCTTGCTCAGTTCCCAATCCTATCATTTACTGTATGTATAAGAAATAATTGTGCTTTTACAATTCCACAAGGCACATTCATACTCAATAAAAAGCCCCGTAATATGGAGAAAATATTCACTTAAACTCAAGAATACACCTGCCATATTTTTTTTGCTTTATTTATTTTTATTCCAAATTGGTTTACATAGTGAATTATTTTTTAAATTTACATTCTTATTGATTTTACATACCAATAAAAGTTTCCCCTCCCCGCTTCCACCTGCTTCTCCCATTCTTCCCCCTTACCACCAACATCCACTTCTCATAAAGGTTACAGGGAGTCAAGAAGACCTGGCATATTCAATTGAAGTAGGACCAAGCTTTACCTGCAGCATCAAGGCTGAGAAAGGCATTCCACCATATGGAATAGGTTTATAAAAAGTCTGTTCATGCACCAGATATAGATCATGGTCCCACTATAGGAGTCCCACAAACAGACTAAGCTACAAAACTGTGTCCGCCTGCAGTGGCCAGAGTCCAGATTCCTCCTCCAAGAAAGCCTGCCAAACAATGACTCTTCCCCAGGGAGGGTCAAGACCACTCACACAGGCTATTTAAACTGCGCCCCAGAGAACAAACACATGGTCTTCTTTTTCCCCCTCTGGTGGTCTCCCCAGTTCTCAGTCCCCCTCACCGTGTTTTCTCAGAGGGCCAGCAAGGAGTGATGGCATCCATTAAACTGAGATTCATTTAATTTGGTTTGGTTTGGTCTGATTTGGATTATTCCATTGGTAGAGAAGCTTACCAGGCCAAAGGAAAAAAAAAAACTTAACAAATGCAAGAATCTATTTAATACAATTTTGCAAACTTGGTATCTCCATGTGTCCTGTACTGGAATAATCAAAGAAACTTGAACTCAGTTAGAGTTGGGTTTTTATAGTAGTAAAGTTGGGGGTGAGGGATTTCTATGGTTCAAGAGCCCAGATTGGCTGACATTTGTCTAGGGCTGTCCTGGTGAATGTTTGCTGGAGGGTGATCTTATGTACAACAGTTGGAATGTTAAGCATTTCCTTTGGATGGTCTGTTCTTGGATGATGCTCAGGTAATCTCAGGTTGTGATCCTTCCAAAAACCAGGTATTTTTCAGAGTAAACTACTGAAACTCAGGCCTCTCGTAAATTTATCATGGCTGAATCCTGCACTAGCAGGTAATAATGGTTGGAAGTAAAGAACATCATTTTTGGAGGTCAGTTTCTATTCAGTTTATCATGGCTGGCTTGTACAGTCAGAAGCTGATGACTGGACATGCCTGCCAGCCAAGTGAAGCCCAGCTAAAACGGATATAGACGAGAGACAAACATTAAAATTTAGGAATTTAAGGGAAAAATTACAATGGAAACTCTCAGGGAAGGGACAAAGTCTCAAGAGAGGAAAAGGAGAGAAACATCCTTAGGAATAGGCAGGTAGGGAACTTTAGGTTGTACTTTCTGGAGTCTTTTTGATCTGTGAGAAGTGGATTTAAGTCTCAAGACTTTTTCTATAAAGTTTATATAAATTTTTTAACATTGTGAAAATATATGTTTTAGTCTTATTAATATCCCCCCTGTTTATAATCTGTACTGATATTTACATTGTAGAAATGGCAGAATATACTCTTGCCAGAAATGAATCTGGTTAAAAATTTTAAATTTTTTTCTTTGTCCAGAAAACTGTGACAGATGTTTTCTGCACAATGAAATGCATCTTTGAGGTCTATAGTTAGGAAACAGCCAAAGGGAATTTGAAATCTTGAGCTTGTGGCTATGATGATAGTGGTGGTACTCTGCCAGAGCTCAGTTAATAGCTTATCAGAATTCTGCCAATTAACGTTAAGACTAAGAAATTTTGGAGTCTTAATTATAACAGCAGCATAATGAGAGAAATCTTAAACATATTTTATTTTTTTAAACATCTCAAATCACTTTTTTTAAATTTATTTATTTATTTTTTCATTGAGAAAAGAAAGAAAAAAAAACAAGTTTCCACCTCCTCCCAGCCTCCCATTTCCCTCCCCCTCCTCCCAACCTTCTCCCCCTCCTCCTACCCTTTCTCCCCCTCCTCCCACTCCTCTTCCCCTCCCTCTCCAGTCCAAAGAGCAGTCAGGGTTCTCTGCCCTGTGGTAAGTCCTAGGTCCTCCACCCTCTGTCCATATCTAGGAAGGTGAACATCCAAACTGGCTAGGCTCCCACAAAGCCAGCACATTGCGTATGATCAAAACCCCGTGCCATTGTCCTTGGCTTCTCATCAGCCCTCCTGAGTGAGGTAACCCAGACACAAAAAGATGAATATGGGATGTACTCACTCATAATTGGTTTCTAGCCATAAACAAGGGTCACGGAGTCTACAATTGGTGACCCCAAAGAAGCTAAGTAAGAAGGTGAACCAAAGGAAAAACATATAGTTGTCCTCTTGGCTATGGGAAGTAGACAAAATTGCCGGGGAGAAAATTGGGATCTTGGGGGTGGGATGGGATGGGGGTAAGGGGAGATGGGGAGAGAAAAGGGAGAAGCGGAGGATGGGGGAACTTGGGGAAAAAGGAGGATTGGGATAAAGGAAGGTTGTATAGGGGAGCACGGAAGCACAATTCTTAGTTAAGGGAGCCACTTTAGGGTTGGCAAGAGACTTGAACCTAGAGTGGCTCCCAGGAGCCCAAGCCGAGGTCCCCAGTTAGTTCCTTGGGCAGCTGAGGATAGGGAACCTGAAATGACCCTAGCCTAGAGCAATACTGACGAATATCTTGCATATCATCATAGAACCTTCATCTGGTGATGGATGGAGATAGAGACAGAGACCCACACTGGAGCACCTGACTGAGCTCCCAAGGTCCCAATGAGGTGCAGAAGGACGGAGAACATGAGCAAAGAAGTCGGGACCACGAGGGGTGCACCCACCCACTGAGACAGTGGAGCTGTCACTCCAGTGGCCAGCTGGACTGTGACTGAAAAAGCATGGGTTAAAACTGGACTCTCAAATCACTTTTTTAAAAATCAACATTTAAGCTTTTTTTCCTCAGAACTTCATAACTTGCATTTACACATCTCAAGTCACCTTCTTGTTCCTGGAAGCATTCTTATTTACATACCTTAAGTCACTTTCTTTGTGCACTTTCTTAGACCCTCAAATTCTATTAGATCCTTGGCAGACCCAGATGAATCTCTGTGCGTCTGAGTAGAGTCTGGTCTATAAGAGCTAGTTCTATGGCAGGCTCAAAACCTACAGAGAAACCCTGTTGTGAAAAACAATAAACAAACAACAAAAACAACAAAACTAACCTACATCTTAAATTTTGGATCATAAAACATTTTTCATTTATTTTAGCAGTAAGTACAGGTGGCTGACTACTGAAAGCAATCACTGTCACTGTAAATTTTCTTTAAACAAAGGAGTGGTAAGATGTTATACTGAAATCTGTTTTGTGAATTTCTCTCTCTCTCTCTCTCTCTCTCTCTCTCTCTCTCTTTCTTTCTCTTTCTCTCTCCGACTCTGTTAATAAGCTGAACTGTGTCTAGACTTTTTATTGGCTCTAAGAGAGTGAGACCTGTGACCTAAATCTTACAGGGAGCTGAGAAGACAGCTGAAGCCTTTTTTGCTGCTTTTAAACTGACAAAGCTATTAGTCATTTCTTAGTTCTGAGAGGAATAAATTTTATCTAAGTTATTGATTTAAAAATTGACAGAGACTTACTTGCTGGCTGCCTAGACAACTACTCCAGGGTCCTTCATGGTCAATGACGGCAGATGGTAGGATAACTTCTGGCTTCTGGCTGGCAGAGGTCCCAGAAGATCGCATAGGCTTCTTTGGAGTAAGGACCAGTGGGAGGACAAGCCTACCATTTGCCTTAGGCAACTCAGGGCAGTCAGTTTCCCTGTGTCCTGTTTTCTCCACCATCTGAAGAGAGTCTTTGCAGTAGATGAAGTGAAAGACAGGTTTTCTCAGTGGCTAGGGATGCCACTTTTGTGCAAGTTTTGAGTAGATCTTTTTCTGTGCCCATCTGTCTTCTCTGGAGAAAACAGAGGAGCTGTCTGGAGCTGGCATACCTCTATTATAAAAGCTTTTTAGTAAAATAGAACTCAAGTCTTAAAAAAAAAAAGAGAGAATAAGGCAGTTTGCTATGGCTTAATATGTCAGAGCAGAGCACATCATTCAAATGTTTCCTATGCACACATATTAGAGTCATCTTGCAAGAAGCTTTATTTTATTTAAGTCTGTGTATGGACTGTGTTTATATATGTGTGTATGTGTGTTTGTTTGTTTGTGTGTATGCATATAAAC